GAGACATACTGTACCCGATACGCACATCATTCGGAACAAATTGCGATTGAATGTTCCCCGAAATGGAAACTAAACTTCATTGCTATGCTGAGAGAATTTCAATTCTTGTAGAACTAAAAAGGAAATGGTCGGAAGTCGAAGTCTCATACCAAATGAACTGTATAACATTCGATGCAGCATAAAACGCTAACTTCGAATCAGTTATCTGCTTTTCGCTTTTGTAGACGAAGCTATGACCAGTTTCAATGCGAAAAAAACACATAAAAAGCGTTGTGCATATAATTGCCCTCTCAGTTCATCTTTAGGTACGGGCTATACGAACTAACCTAGCTGCATGTTTTGGACCATGCATTGAGCCAAACGTGGCTCTGCACGACCAAATTTTCACTTTCGCGTATAATTTCTTGGCAAGATTATGACCTTTATTGGCTGATAGCTTCGCCAAAAAAGCGATAAGCAGATAAGAAAAACGGATTAAAATCATCGCTTCATGCTGCATCTCATGGTATCCAGATTGGCCTCTTCGACTTGTGACCATTCCCTTGTGAGAAGAAAGATCGTGCGAAATGCCGGGTCACTGATCTTCTGCCAAACGCAACATAGCTTTCGGAACTAAAGTATTACAATTTCCCCAGTTTACATCGCAAAACCAGTCGTCCACCTGCAAATTGAAAAGATGACTGCACTTTAGAGCTTGGTGTTTTACAGGACTTACAGAAGTGACCTGACCTCGAGCCAATAACATATGATGCTTCATATGCAACGATCGCACAAAATATTCGGAACCATTCATGCCAAAGCCCGTTAGTTCGGTATTATTGCAGTCGGGGCACGTTAAACTTGGGGGATTGTCATGCTTTGGAAACCTAAAGAGATTTTTGGGTTCGAAAATAGACGTTTCGTAGCATTCTCCACAAGTTTACTTCCGCAGTTACATCAAGTAATACATACTGGAACGTTATTAAGAAGTTCCAGTATGCTTCGACAACACTCTCTTTCCATCGGACTTCGTCGCCAGTGTAAAGCCTGTCTGAGCACATCCTGGCAAGGTCCCCCAGATTGAAGTGCTAAAATTCGTAGTTAACGAGGTTTCATCTTCAACAACCTCGCCTCAGCCTCCTTTCGAAGCTCCTCCCGATCGTCGTCGTCCAAAGGAAGTGTAAAATTATGATGTAGGTAATTTAATATCTAGAATAAAGTCTTACGTCGAACTGTTCAAGAAGAAGTAAAGTTGACACTACTCTTTCAAAATGTCTTGGATTCCTGTCCACAAAAAGCTCTGTCTGAATTTGACTACGACTGGTGATCCTTGGTGCCTATTGTGATCAGTTAGAAAATGTATTGACGTAGTGGAACTAACATTATCCAAAACTCCACGGAGAATGTCCTCGTACGTTTCAAATATTGTACCACTTACATTGACTCTCACAGGTAGTCCTCTTTGTGCCTAAAATACACATTTTCACAGAATCTTGTGGAAAGACACAGTCGAGTAGATTTTCCGCTCAACATAGTGTGCTTGCACTCTAGGTGAAGTGCGGTAAAATTTGCGCGTGAACATATAGCTACGCTTGCGACGACGGCCAATTGCGCGCGCGAAATGCCGGCATAACTGACGTGGCAATTTGTTACAAATTTTACCGCATCTCACTTGCAGTGCAAGCACAGTATATTAAAGGCAGTGTCCAATCAAAAAGTCGATCTTGAGATTTTGTGCTTATCGGAGCATA